ACTGCAAAGATCTACAAATAATTAATATATTGCACTAAAATAGTTGCTATGTTCTTATCAAGAAGATATGTAATGTATCATTTTCTATTCTTCAAGCATTTTCTTAGGGATACACACTCAAAAAATATACAAAAGACACAGCTAAAAAATGTGTTTTCTTACATTGTACTATATGCCATTTAGCATCTATGAAATATTATTTAATTCATGGAACGGACATTATTAAAAATGTCATTATAACTATAGCAATGTTAGCAGAAGAAGTCTTAAAATCCAGAAATAAAGATTTTTGAATATACTGGGCACTAAATACGTGAAAAATGTCTAGAGGAAAAAGAATAAAAGATTTGTTTCACATTTGATTGTTTTCATCCACTCCGATTATATCTACTATGTCAGAAACAATGAAGTAAAGAAAAAAAATAACATTAAACAAAGAAGTCGTCAATTTATTAGCTGATCCAAAAATTTCACCAATTCATTGTGATTCTGATCACGATATTAATGATGACTCTAAAATTCTTCAGAAATCAAATAATGATCAGATTTCTAGAATTTTGATAATGAAGTCTAAGAAATTAATAATGAAATATAATATATATATATATATATATATATATATATATATAAATTATCATTAAATAGACCACATGTTAATCACATTTTAAAAATCTCATACTAATATGAATTTGTTATTTTAAACTATTACGGAAGAAAATTATTTATATTACGAATTTCGTAATTTTCATAATTATAAACATCTATTATTTGTATATATAAAATTAAAAAATAAAAAATATAAGAAGCATACACTTATCAATTAATTTGATTAATTTGAATTATTCGTTGCTAGAATTGTTATATGACCCATTATGTAGCGGTCAGCATGTGGTTTCTTCTCTTACTTGTTTCGGTAAGGTGAGAGAAAACGACCCACATTATTTCACTTGTCTCGTAACTGCATGGCTTTTGTTTCTGTCTATTTATAGATAATTGGTTGAAGTAGTAGCTAGTGAACTTAAATAGTAGTTATACAGATTAATTGATGGTGAGGACTTTATGACTCGTGGCGGAGAAGAAATTGCCCATTCCTGATGTAAATTATTGGTTTCTTATTCAAATTATATGAAATTAATATAGAACAAATTATAAATGAATATACATCAAAAGAGAGTTTGTTGTCATAAAGATATCAAGATATGCTACATTCATGTAGAGTTCTTAATTTTAACAGAATTCAGTCGGGTAACTATGGTTAGTATACAGCGAACGTTTAACAATTCATCAAATCATTTTTAATAAGAAAACATCTAAAACATTAAATTCTCCAAAGTTTTCCATACAACGATGCTTAATGATATTTTGTTTATATATATATACATGTAAAATAAATATTTTATAAAAATATACGTTGTTCAAAACATTCACTTTTCTCGTTATTCTGAGACAATGGAAACAAAAAAAGATAAAAGAGAGAAGTAGACAGACAGATAGAGGAAAATAAAGCAAGTCATATTCATTTCGTTAAAATCGTCGGCAAATTGGACGATAAAATAAGAGAAAAATAAACAAAAAAGCAATCTAAAAGGAGGACTCGTGTCGGTTCCTCATCGTCCGTGTCAAACCACGTGTGTTCTCCGTCTCACTTACGCTTATGCTTGGCCGTTCCACCTAATGGTGCGAGTAAGTTTCTGCGAGTGTTGCGCATTTACAATGTTACCACGAGCTGGAGACCGTTGTTGGTAGTGTATGGAAAGAACGTCGGTGTGTGCTTAATATGCGCGGGCGTTAGAACCGCGATGCGTGATACAAAGCGGGTTCTCACGAGAAGACACGATGGAGGAGGCGAGGAGGGTAACTGTGGAGGGCAACTGAGGAGGGCAGACTAGCCAGACCAGCCAGACACTCGTCGGACGAGGGCTACCTCTCCCTCTCCCTCTTTCTCTCTTTCTCTTTTTCTCTCTTTTTCTCTCTTTTTCTCTCTTTCTCTCTCTCTCTCTCTCTCTCCCTCTCTCTCTCTCTCTCTCTCTCTCTCTCTCTCTCTCTCTCTCTCTCTCCCTAAGATCGTACATAAATATCGTGTACGTGTATCGAGAAGAAAAAGTGACGAATACGGTAACGAGAATGAAGGTATGCGTTTCAAAAAGATGGAAAAGAAGGAAACGAAACCGAATCGTAACAGTTAACATCCTTTAAGAATCCATAAATATTTCCAACGGGAAAAAAACTTTGTATGAGCTATGTATGAGTTTGAATGAATCATTAAAAATTGAAAAAAAGAAAATGTAAGCGCTACATGAAAGTAAAATTACGTTGATAGTTAACAGATAGGCGTTTCCTCGAAGATCGAAAAGATAGTACAGTAGTGTTTTTCTCGTTCAAACTAATAAAAAAATATATGTGAAACAAAAAATGAAGTGTTTTAAAGCAAAAGTAATACTTCAATGAAAAATGTTATATTTCGTTATACACGTTAACGTAGAAAAATGTTATATTTAATAAAATAGACGATTGTGAATGTAACAAAACTCTCATGTATACTTTCCAATATCTTTTTACTCACTACTCTCATCAAGCATATCTTTCAATGTCTTTTAACTTATTACTCCCAGGCATTTTTTTGATACACTTTTTGTCAATCTCTCTATTCACTTCCAAATTGTAGGATTTGCAAAAAAAGTTGGTTTCTTTGGATCGAGATTTGAATCCGGCTTTTTCGTTTTTCGGATGACTACTCAATAATCACTAAGCTATCCAGGTTCTTAGGCTAACTTTATCATGAATGCCTACTATATAAAATATAGTAGATATTCGCTCCCATATAATTGTTTTTAATCTGTGCATTTTATAGTATTAAAAAAATCAGGGATATCGAAAACTTTGTTGAAGTTATTTTATTTATTATTACATTCAGTAAACTGGAGATCAGTATAGAATACAAATATTTCTTCTAATATTTTAAAATTCTCTAATAAAAGTTATCAATTTTTGAATTGTTCTACGTTCAGATCTATTGAGATATAAAATAATTTCGGTCGATAACTCGTTATAGTCTGTTTTCCCTTTCGATGCTTACATGTGTCCTGATCAACTGAAGATTAAAAGCGCCGTTCCCCATAACTAGAACAAACGGCTTGCGTAGTCGCTTATGAATAAGTCGACATGCCCACCTGAATATCGGAACAGGTGTCCCCATTCATTCACGGAGTCGCTGTCTAGTTGAGCGAACGTTACGTCCGTAGCGAGGTATTCAAGTGCCTCTCGAATACGAGTAAGTCGTATTCGACTTGTAATTGTTCAACGTCGTCTACGCTGATTCCGTGCAATTTATAAAAATTTCAACATTCGATTCTCTCTACATCTTCATTCGGCTTCATTATACAATATATTCTTAATATTGACACGGACATAGGAGACTGGACAAAGTTGGAAAGCTTTCGGTGATATGAGACATTGTTAATAATTGTCCACAATACAACTGAAAAATTTATTTCAATAAAAACATATTACTTTCAATAACATTATTTTTCAACATATTTGTTCCATCATTGCACAATCTTTTTTATATCTTCATAAAAAATGTTTTTGGCTGAATTTTCGAGCTATCCAGTATACATTCACTGATACATCTTCAGATTATAAAAAACGGATAATTTCTCACTATTCTTCTTTTTTGCAACGTAAAGCAAAATGGACATCGTGATAAATAAAATGTAATCAATCTAATGTATTTAAAACTTGACATACGTAATTGGAGGAAAACCACGAATACTAATGCGTAAATACTTGACAGTAAAGCCAACATAAAAAAAGCCAACATAAAAATTCCGGATAATTATTGACTCATTTTCGTATTTCGAGAGAATATTTTATGTACGTACATCGCAGATACATTGACACTCGAAGTGAATTTTTTTCCGAAGAATCCTAAATCCTACACTTTATCTTAAACAACTCGACATATTGGCTATAAGTAAGCTAACTTATCGATCGCGTTTTAACAACGACAACGAACAATCAGAAAAAGAGAACTGAGGAACTTAACATCGAATTCGTACTCGATTCGAGATTCGGTGGAAAGCGCGAGAGTGGCCCTGTTATGCCGATATTGCGCCACACGGAATAGAAATTGCGAGTAATATGCTCGAGCGGCGATGCGTCGAGAATAGATAGAGACGAAAGTCGTATTTTGAGACGTTTCGAATTCTTGCCAAAAAAGATAAAGGAAGAGAGAAGATCGTTGATACGTGCGTAACATTTGCGTATTGTCTTCGATACGTTTCGGTGTGTACGGTCCATTACTACTTTTGCATTCCATCCGTGTACATCTACGAGCAATTAGACTTGTCGTCGAGTTCTTCGCATGCTTTCCGCCAGGCCGAGCGTCTTGTCACTGAAGGAACACCGTATATACATATTCTCTTCCACTTTTCAAAAATCTAATTCTTCCATTAAGGAAATATTTAATTAAAAAGATAAAATAATAAAAATATTTAAATCATAAATCACAAGAGCATAAATAAGAGCGGATTATCGGCGATTATCGCAACGAAATAGAAAATTACGCGGGCTACTAACTATTTTTGACCGTAAGCGAAAACATCAAAACCCCATAAAGTGATCTTTTCAAGAAGAGTTTAGTTTAAAGCAATCTCGTATACAAAATCGATTATCATCCCACGACTTAAAGCGATATTAGGAGACTCATTTTCTTCATCCTTTGTCGTAACAATGGTTATTTGGCATTCGCGTAGTGCCGTCTCAAGCCGACATTGTTCTCCGCCGTATGTGCGACTGTTTCACGACGCACCGTGCGCATACGTGGGATTCGATTGGAAGGTAATGTGTCTTCTGGCGCATCCTGTGAACTTTCTTCATTTTCTTCCCCACGATATTTCAACGAATGACGGAAGAAATTCTACTTTGAAGTTAATATCTTAAATTTGGCTTGTAACGTTCATTTAACAATTTTTAATTATAATTTTGTTCATATTTTACAGGCAATCTTAAAGAAATCCTCTGTGTCGGTGGAAATAGAAGTGAGACCAAGACAATTAGTACCAGACACCAATTGTTTCATCGACTATCTGCCACAATTGCAGAATATTACGAAAGCTACCTCTGGAGCACAGCCCATCTACACGCTGATGGTACCGCTGGTGGGTGAGTACGATCGATGAGACACCTTTTCGAAATTAACTTCTATAAATGTCTAATCACCGCCGGTCTCCGCGAATGGATCAATACGGCGCACCGTCTACTACGAAAATTTGTCGGACATTTCCACTTATCTATATTTTTGCGCGCTTATACAACAAATTAAAAATAGTTAAATCAAATATTCCGAAAGGTAGTCCAATACTATACTTTTTTACAATCACTTTGGACTTATTTTAATTACTTTAATTATTTTATAAAGACTGAACAATAAAAATTTTTAATGTTTTAATTACTAAAATAAAAACGCATAAATAGAATACTGTTTGGAAAATGTAAATATACTTTAATAAAATATTTGAATTTCTCAGAAGTTTCAGGTCAATTTCTGCTATTTAAGTTTACAATAATAACTTTATGATTATTTGTATTTGCTTAAAATACTCTTCTCTCTTCTCTTCATAATGTATATGAACAAAATGTCAATGTTTAACATTATTTTCTGTTTTACTAGCATATTTAATTTTTTTCATCAAAATCATTCATCACTGTCTAACGATAACAGAATATTTATAAGAAAAAAAAAAAAACATTAATGAGAGCACAGGAGATACAACATCAAAATATTTCATAATGAATATAGCGAATAAAAAAAACGAAAATCATCGGCAATTCGTTCTCTTGAAAATAAAATTGGTTCCCATTGATCTCGATTCGATTAAAAATTCATATTTTTCGCTATACAAAAGAATGGTAAAGAAAAAGAGAAAAAATTGCGTTGATTTTCAATTTAAAACAAGTTTATACTTCATCCGTGACTCGAGTCGTAAACGATTTTATGACGACAATTGAGTCAATTTTGGGAATATGAAAGGTCCGCTGGGATATCGAGTTTTGCTTAATTTGGAATCTACTGGTGTACAAGGCATACAGATGGACAGAAAAAGAAGAGAGAGAGAGAAAGAGAAATAGAGAGAGATAAAAAGAGATAGAGAGAGATAGAAATAGGAGAGAGAGAGAGAGAGAGAGAGAGAGAAAGAGAGAGAGAGAGAGAGAGAGAGAGAGAGCAAGAGCAACCATAGGGGTCGATTGACCTATGATCTCAGCGGGCATTTTTTTGACCGAAGTTTATCGATTATCCGATCGAAGGGAAGAGGTAAAAATGTGGAGAGGAGGATCGTGCTATAACCCTGTCCAAAATAATATTCCCTGTAAGTCTGGGCAACGTGCAAAATAATCGACTATAAATTATAAGAAAGGGTAAGAAGTGAGAGAAGGGACTTTGATCCCTCTCATTGCAACCTGTGCTCCTTTTGCAAACTGTGCACTTTTGTTGAATTAAAAAAGAAAAATTCCAAAGCGGATCGATCGTAGCATCTTTGTTGAGAATCTTTTTATTTCTCCTTGTAAATAATTTCTCCTCGTCGGAAAAAAAATGAAAAAATTCCTTTGTAGGCGTTTGTGTAGTTCTCGATGTAATCTTGTGAGTCAAAAACACAAGAAAATAATATTGTAGAATCGAGTAATGTTTGCAGAATTTTTTAAATACAGATAGTTAAAATCTGTGTATCCTCTCATCTTGTATGTGTCATATATATGTTTGCTGTGACAGCTGAAATAGTTAGGATACTGATATAGGAATTGGATAAATATTTCAATGTAGAATTAAGTAAGATTTACGTAAGTAAGATTTAAAATACTTTTCTAATATTATTTTATATAGGTCTACAGTATAAAAATGATTTCACAAGTTCTCATAAAATCTTTGTTCAGTTTGTGATAATCAAAAGTCGAAATTAAATTATTATTAAAAATTCTTGTCGTCGCCTAAGAGGGAATCACGTAATTAGCGAATATCGTAAAAGATGTTTGATGTTCTTTTATTCAAACCGTACACTCCTGACTCATTGTATCACTCATAAATGATAAAGAACCATTTATATCTACAGACATTGAACTTGCAAGACGTGTAACATAAAAGACATGACATTTTTAATAATATTCATATCAACAGACATTTATTTACTTGATAGATATGAACTTTCCAGTAGTTAAGTCAGAGATAGAGAGAGAGAGAGGGAGAGAGAGACTACTATATTTATCAATAGAAGATTGCGTTAGGATTCTGCGAACATTTTTCATGAAAAAATTTTGCCATCTGTCTGTTGAAAACTTTACAGTTATTGCATTATTATTCAAAGAAGAAGAATCGAAAGAAACATTTTGCTGTACATCTTATACCGAAAGAAATTGTCCGCATAGACTCTCAATTAATTCGTTCATCCCCTTACTTAAATTTACTAGCTATCATTTCATGCTTAAAAACAAAAACTCTGCAGTACACGAGGCATGGCGATGTCCAATTGTGGGGATAGTATCTTATTGGAGTAAGCAAATATAATCGATCCTATAGAAATATATATTTTCTAATATATTCAATCAATTTTTCGTTATTTATTGCTTAATCTTATAACAAATATATCTATGGGATTAGTATTTACACTGCCCGTACAGACAGTAACAGACAAGTTCAAACATGCATTGTCACAGACAAATTATTCATGAGAATGTTGCACCGATACATACCGTCTATGTCTATAAGTGTAGGTACAATTACGTTAGATTAAAATATGAATGCGTTTATAAAAAAATCAAATGATGTTATCATTTATTTATACGCAAAGAACAATGACCTTGTATTTAGATCTTTTCATTCATTATGTAAAAATTATTCGTTCCGATCAATTCTTGTATTTTTCAAATTATCGATGGTCGATTGTTTTATTTTATCTTCGTTGGATATGATTATTATTATTAATTTTCATCTTCGTTGTGTCGAAACGATCGTGACGAAGATATCGAAAACTCCGGCCAGATATATACGGACAGTATTTTAATTAAATCTTAGGTAGTCTTCAAATATTCTTTTGGATTATCTATCTATCTATCTATATATATATATAGGTACATTTTGCTCTCTTTCTCTCTCTTTCTTTTCCAATTTTGTGCACACTTTCATTCACGAATTTATTGAATTTACATTTAAACATATAATTATTAAAATATAATTGCTTATGAATATTTTATAAAATAAAATTTTTATGCTCTCGCAATTATGTTTTATATCGTTATTACGAAAATGATCATATAGTATGAATTGTTTTATCATTCATATAAATTGCTTTCATATATTGAAAAGGAATAGGTTTCATATGAAAACAGAGAATGAAATCTTGAACAAAGTTTATAAAAGCATCGAATATATTCGACCATATAGAGAAACCAAGTTCATTCGGCGTTCAATAGATAACCGTTAGTTCACTTCTGTATTATGTCCATCTTTTTTTTAACTTTGTTAAAAGATGGACATCTAAAGGCAACCATATAAAGGCTCATAAAAGACAACCATCTAAAGGTTCGAAAAAAGGCCGAAATTCGGAATTTCTCTTCTAGCTAAATCTTTCTTTACCTGAAGGTACATGTATTGAGAATCTTCAAAAAATAATTATCTAGAAATATCGAAAAATTACAAAAATATGGTCACTGGCAGACAATACATTTTATTGGAGACGTTTAACAGTGGACTCACTCCAGTTGAAACGGCCCATTTGAAATGAAAAAACGAAATAGTTTATTCAAGTTAACTCTAAAGACGAATCATTGATGATATTCAATTTTTAAAATGTTTGACAAAAAATGTCATTTTTAAGTAATTATTAAAGAATTCAAATTGATTTAGAAAAAGAAGTAAAAGCATCATCAACTTCTAAATATTTCAGAGAGTTTTTTTGTAAATTTAAAAACGATTTTTCAAACAGTTTTTCAGATGTCATGTCCGCTATCTTCGAAAACAGTGTTTTAAGAAAAACGCGTATGAAGTCTCTAGTATAATTCTATTCTTGTTAAGTGAAGAATATTTAACTTTATCTCTATTCATCAATTCCAGGACTGTATAAAATACCCTTAGCGGCAATTGCAGCTTCATAGGAAGAGGATTGTGAGAAATTCTCTCTTCTTGCGTCACATCCTGCGTTCAAATTTCAATTGAATAGATGCGTTCTCGGTTTTGATACTTTGAGTACGCAACGCAATTACGGTATTCAATGAATGCGTAGTAAGTAAATCTACAGTGATATTTTCGGTGACAGTGTATGCGGCGGTATTTGCAGCAATTTTCACAATTATTGTTTGAACATTCGGAGTCACTTGCATATATCACATATTTTTCTTTGTGTTCAAGATCGTTTGAGGTCGTCATCAAGAATGTTATCATTTTGAAAATGACAGACTTGTGATTTTTTTTTTAATACACTCTAGACGCAAGAGATTTTCTATTGCTCTGCCTATATTCAACTTTAACGTGACAGAATTTTGAATTTTGATAATATGCGATCTTTTATCTATGAATAAAGGAGATTTTCTGTTCCATAGAACACTTCTTTTAACGCTTTGGAAATCCACAAAGTAGGATCTGTACTACTTGTTGATAGTGTATTAAGCTGATATGTGTAAATATTAATGACTGAAACTGAACAGTAACTGAAATGATAGAATGAAGACAGAAAGGAGGCTGAATTAAGACTAAACTAAAATGTGTGAACCACCCTTATAATAATTTCGTTTTTAAAGTTCTGTCTCCCATTTTAAAGCTCCGTTAGAAAAAGACAAGGAGGAAAAATGAATGTTATTAAACGTAACTCTAATTGTCATACAGTTTATCCGTAAAATCATGAAGTCCCGATGAAGATTTAAGGTCGTTCGAAATCGATAAATTCATTAATCACTATCGTACGATTACAATTAGAAATTAATATCGATAATACATTTTGCCTATAGCTTTTTATTGGTTAAGTATCGAAAGAAAAATGCGAATATATTTTTAGTTTCGACGCTAATTTTGTCGAGAAGGTACAATCGTACGACTTCGTAAATATTCCTGACGAACGGATGGTCCATCGATTGATCATAGTTCATAGAATATTTCTTAATCATTATACGATTATTCCAATAAAAGAATTACATATTATCTAGTATAAGCTTTCAGACATAAGAAACAAAATATAAAAAATATGTCTTATCCTTCATAGTCATCGTGGACTTTACTATATTTCATCTATTCAAAAAATAACATTAAGGATTTTTGTGTAAGAAAAGCAAAATTGCTTCGAGGCTGATATTCTACGAGTATAGTTTAGGAAAATGGATAGCTCAAGTATTTCAGCTTGAGTAGACTAATGCATACCAAATGTCGTTGAAAATTGAAAGTGCTTGAAGTGGGTTGCCCGCGAGGCTCATAGTACGTCTCTACGTGTGCAGTTGTAGTCTACCTCATTCGTGTGCATGCGAATCGATTATCGGATTTCAGAGATGGAAGAGAAAAAAGAAGGAAAAGAAAAAGTGAAGTAAGAAAGAGAAAAAGAAGAGGAGAAGGAGAAGATAGAGAGAAGCGGAAAAAAATACGTATGCGAAGCAGAAAAACACGTCTGCAGGAGGGATCCTCCAATGGCACTGGCCTAACGTCGGTAGCCAACGATTTATTCGAGAAAGCGAGAAGGGTTTACGCATTTGCTCTTCTCTCTTCTCTCTTTCTTTCTGTTCCTCCCTCGATTCGCCATGAACTGTCTGTGAAGAGGATACGGCTGGCGGACGTTTAATTTATCGGGGCGGAGAAAGTTTACCCAAACTCCATTTGCATCTTTCGTAGGGTATCGTCTCGTTTCGCAACTCGATTGTCGAGCGAGCGTAAGCGATACATCTTTCTCTCTTTCTCCCTCACAAACACACCTCTTTCTCTCTCTCTCTCTCTCTCTCTCTCTCTCTCTCTCTCTCTCTCTCTCTCTCTCTCTCTTCTCTCTCTCTCTCTCTCTCTCTCTCTCTCTCTCGTTCTCTAGAAAAGTGATTACCTATTGTCTGTATTAATCGAATAATAGGGGAAAATCTGATAGCCAATTGGAGATTGACATATGAAAATATTATCTGGATTGCTAGAGCTCGAAGCGTGGCCGAATTGTAGGAAAAAAAAGCGATAACCGATTCTCATTTTCCGCGATTGTTATATTTTTTTTCATCATTTACTCGTGGAGAATTTGGCACTACGTACGTATTGTCTATTACGTACTTATTGTCTACCATTTTTAGTAGACCATACTTATTGTGTACCATTTTATCATACTTTTTATTTAACTTTAATTATTACTAGTTAAAATTAACATTCAACGTATTTAACTATCGTGGTTAGGGCATTTGTTCCAAATACATATGAATTCATGGAGAAACCTCAAGAATCAAATTATACAAACTGTCAGAATCATACTCGACCTTTTGGCCCTTCTTCAAAGGGTCCCACTGCTTAACAATAAGAATTTTAATCGTTATATCCAGCCATTCATTCCACGAATGGACAGTAATTCATGTAGGCGAAATTTAAGCGCGTCCTACAATTGTAAATGTATTCCAAAAAGTGATTCCCGATTTTTTTTCGTCTTTTCTTGCACAATGTGATCCTTCCATCGTATAACCATCCTTTCAGTCATCTACGGTTTGTGTGATATGTGCATGGCCAAGTTGGGAGGAAAAAAGTGAAGCGAGTCGTTAGTTCGTTATACGTACCTATATAAACCCATATACATATACACATGCATATTATATCGTATATGTATGTAAACGGAGAGGGGGACCGAAAAATGAAAGTACGTCTTCATGAAAAATCGACTACCGCGTTGCCAGTTGACCTCACCGACCAGCCACGGTCTGTCTGGCTCCGACAACGGACCACGCTGAGCGTTCACAGTTAGGTTCTCACGGCTCATACATGAATGCATGTATGTGCGGCCTGAAACGAGGGACGATTGGCCAGCGACGAAGAGACTGGCTGTACTGGTGCCATGACGATAGTGCGCGACTTTCTGCTTGCTGCTATTCGACTGCGTGAGCACCTATGTTTCAAACCCGTGATCTGTCGTGCTCCTTTGAACTTCTTTATCATTGACGCAGATTACTGAATTTCTTTTACAGATCTACCCGATCTTCGATTTTCTAATATCTCTTCGAGTATCAAACGGCTTGCTATTTTTCAGCGACTTACTTCAATTCTTCTTTCATTGTCTTATTTTTATCATTTTCCCAATAGATGATCGCTCGCTATTTAAACATTTATCGGGCATATATTTAGGGCATTATTTACAATATGATAAAGCATAAAACGAATCAATTGTGCTATATTGTCTAGAGACATAGATCTACAAAAGTCTAACTAAGCATCTCTTCTTTCTCTAATGACCGATCAACCTGTATTGTGTCTTATTATCATGAAGTGTTTAGATATTATTCAAATAGATAAGAACTCATTCGTATTTATATTCGAGAAAGACGGTAATAAATCCTCTTACTATTTATAGATTTGTCGAAGTTTGCTCTTCCAAAATATTTTCAGGATGTATTTATGAATATGGAAGCCGAAAAATCCCTGCTAAATTTGTCAGTAGGTCAAAAAATCTCTGCTAAGTTCGTCAGCAAACTGAAAAATCCCTGCTGAGTTTGTCAGCAGACCTTTCTACCTTCTCTAAGCCTTCTCGATGAAGCTAAAGGAAATGAGTTTTTCTCAAAAATCTAAGAAGTTGGTTCTCGCGAAAATCTTAAATATCTGACATAGAATGAAAAATTCGTTAATGCCGTGAAGGGAGTAGGCGACGAAATTTTCGATTAATAGTATTGATCCAAACTTCTTCGTTTAACTTCTATTCAAAATTTGTTCTCTCTCTCTCTCTCTCTCTCTCACTCTCTCTCTCTCTCTCTCTCTCTCACTCACTCACTCTCTCTCTCTCTCTCTCACTCTCTCTCTCTTTCTCTCTCTGTGTGTGTCTTTGTCTCTGTCTGCTTTTCATAAAGAACAAGCTATTGAACATTGCATAAATGTATTTTATATGATACAGGAGAAATCTTGGAACAATCATTGCACTCTTTTCGAGTATCTAAAGTGATTTAATTTGTTTTGTATATGAAACTTTGTTATAGTTTTAAACGAACTGGAAGGCTTGGCTAGAGGTGCCGATGCCAGGGATTGTCCACCAGCATCAAGAGCTACTTTGGATCCTGAACACGTAGCCAGAGTGGCAGAAAGTGCAAAGGCGGCATTGGCTTTTGCGAGAAGCCGAAACCCAGCAATTCGATGCTTGACTACAAGAGGAACCGTCTTGACATCCAGTACTTTTACCGTTGAAGAAGACGTCGATAAGGTAAACTGGTTTTTCTTTTCCGTCATCTATTTCTCGTGTATTCAATAGATCGATAATTTATCATCATTAAGATATTCTTATCAAATTTGTTAAAAATATAAAGAGCTAAAACTCATATCTCAATATGTACCGGATCGACTATAAATTTTCATGCGTACAGTTAAATCGAACGGAGTAGAAAAATATTTTAGACGAACATACAAGCATTTATTATCGCTTCTTGTCACTCTCGATGTGAGTAGTACTATTCCAGTACGGATATACAGTATCTATTTTTAACAAGACTCGATCTATTTAAATATGATTAAGATCATGTAGGTACCGTACACTACTTCCTGCTGTTATCGAGGATTAGAATATTCGCTTCGCTTATGCGTATGCATACATATTCGGATAAATTCCGTATAGCAGGCAGCATTGTAGACTAGAAAAAGTATCTTTCGTTTAGATTTTTAATTTATTATCCTTAATTATAGCTTTTCTAATGTAGGAAGAGTGATAAAAGAAAATCAGTGTTGATGTTTTTCTGATAGCAAAATCGATACGAATGAAAAAAGAGCCACACTATATTCAATGCATGCAAAGAAGTAAAGAGGGTGCAAAAAGAGAGAGGAAAAGGGATTGGGTCGGTGTTCATTGAAGCATAAATTTTATGATAAGGGATCGAATATCTAAGAAACCTATACCGTTCAGATAAACTCTTTTCAGTGAGAAATAGATTGTAGTTCGGCTAACGCATTTGTGATTTTTATAGTATATCTTTGCGGTAACATGTCGTGTATGTGTGATAACATACACGACTTCACAACAATGATCACAAACATGAAGCTTGATTTATCGAAAGAAATAATAATGAAAAATCCCTTCGTTATTATTTCCCTTTGTCGTGTCTCTTGCGTATCTAGTTTCCTCTTCTTTTTCACCCTCTTCTTACCATTTGTCGAAGTTTTGAATACGAAATCGTTAAACGTTCAAACAGACAGTAAGAATAAATGAAATATTGAAGATATTTTCTTTCATATTCGTTGCAGGACAAATTAACTAGAAATGATGACAGGATTCTAGCTACGTGCTTGAGCCTTTGCAGAACAGGAAACAAAGATTATAATAACCCAGGTATGTTGAATATAAAATTTTTCTATGTGTCAATAATCGATTTTATCAATCCTCGAGAATATATATTTTTTTTTATTATTTTAAATTAGTGTGAACAAAACAATTATTGATTTATTTTAATTTAAAATAATAAGTATAATATCAAATAATTTCTTAAACGCTGTTTAATAGTCAATAATTCTAGATAATTTATTGTTAGTTCAGTAAAAGGAAATAAAAAAAGAAAAATTATAAGGCTCTAGTTATATGTATTTTAAAGAGACAGATACAAAAAGAAAACTCTGAATTATTGGGTAGCTTATTGGTGGGAGTACCGTACACGAAATCCAGGGAAAACCGGGTTCAAATCTTAGCCCAGCCTACAATTTTCATAGGCCTACAAAATCTAATTTATCTTGCCTCAGCAGAGGAGGGCCAGCCCCGACGTCTAAGGAGAGAAGTCGTGTTGCTGACGGAAGATAGAAACCTGAGGGTGAAAGCCCTCGCTAGGGACGTGCCGGTGAGAGAAGTGCCCGACTTCATGGAATGGGCTGGTCTGGGCTGAAACGACGATGACTTCATGACCAAATATTCCCACTGATGAAACAAATATCCCGTCCCCCCCGCCGCGCAAACTAAGATCATCAACTTAGATCAAAAGCAAAGCGAAGGAAGAGAAATGAAAGAAGAGAATAGAAAAGAGAAAGTACTTCTCATCACCTCGATGGACCCTTTGCGAAGGGAAAGCGCGTTAACGAAAAACGCGATTTTTTTACGTAAGTTCGTCCTTTTTCCAAAAGAAAAAAAAAACAAAACAAACAAAGAAACTCGAACACGCGTATCCTGTTAATTTTCCTCTTGTTTTTTTCCTCTTTGCAAAAATTTGTTACTTTTTTCAAAATTCTTCTACGTACGTCTCTAGAAAAGAAAATTAAGAAAAAAAAAAGCAAAAGCGGAAGAGAATACAAAGCGTCAAGAGTTTACCTAAAAGGAATACTGGAATCATCAATTCATAGACGCCCTTTCACATATTCCGAGCTCGCAACACTTTTCATTCCGTTCCTGAATCCCAACTTCTCCGTAATCTCCCTGATTCTTCACATTTGAAGTAAAATCCAGATGAAACGAATGTAAAGAAGGCGTCGATCGTAAGGTACAAAGTCCGACTTGTAGGTAAAGCAGATTTGGTAGTACCATATTCAGGAAAAGAGATTGCTCGAGAAGACGAGAGAAAGAAAGCGGTCCACTGAAAGAGGGGAATACTAAAGCAGCAACAAGAATAAAAGAAAGAGAAAGAAAACAAAAATAGGAAAATGTTCGTAAAAATATTGTCTCTTGGGAGTTTTGACAAGTTTTATTCTTCTTAGGCTCGTTTTATCAAAGATAGTCATCTATTGTGACTGAATTTGTTGTATATGATCCTTTTAAACCGTGTTTGTATGAATACATATTTGTACGAGTTTTGAATATTTTGCGTATATTCTACAATGTCTGTACTAAATGTATATTATTGCACTCGTTGTAGAGTAGAAGCGAGCGATTGGCGCCGGTCATTTTTCTTCTTTTTTCTTGTATCTTCGTCATTTTTCTTTTTATCTTTTTTCTTTTTTTAATCTCTCTTTGTTCGATATCCTCGTACAGAGTAGTTCAGTTATAGAAACTCATAATAATCCGTATGGCATGTATGGATTTTCGAATTCCAGCCATTTAAAATAACGTTACGTGCCATCGAAACATTCTTTTTATTCTCTTTTAATCGCGTTTATACTTTTTTTTTTTTGTAGAATCGTTGCCAGTGCTACGATGATATATCGATGAAGTTCTCTTTTTTTTTAATAAAAAAAATATATTTTAAATAATAGATTAAGAGCGTAATGTAGCCTTTAAATATTGAAATATTCTGTACGGGACATTACGTTACCTTCGACTTTTTTCCTATTCACATAAAGATTATTTAGATATTAATTAGGGTAATGAAACAATGTAAACCTTCGAAGAAGCTCGTTTTCTTTCGTTACGTCAAAGGAAATTTGAACAATATTACCAGCGTCCGTACGTACATATATAATATTTTATCAGCGATATATTATTGAATCGTATCGACGAACAATAATACCAGCACCAAGTTGTACGAAGTAAAGGCTGATTAGATGGTAATAATTCCGTAAGGCAAAGAGTCGATCGTGACGAAAGAGATAGGATCTACATGTTGCTCGCACTCTATGCTTTTTCTTTATTTGTAATTTTACGCGTTGTTCTTGTAAGATTTAGCAATTAGTTATAAGGCAAATCATTATGATACCTAAGTGTGCATTGATTTAAATAGGACCACTCATTTCAATTGTTATTTATGAACTTTAACGACAAAATTTTCCTACTTGTAAAGACAGACGGAACAGAAATTATCAGAAGCGATTAGAATTGCAAACGTTTTGGACGATAAGCTTCGATTAACGAAATACTCGTTCATTCATCGTGGCTACGTTCGATAAATTGAAAATGAAATAAGAACATTTCGATGTCGTCCAAAAAGAAGAACGATTAATAAAACGTACGAGCTTTGGGGTATATCAATCAAAAGTTATACTCTGCAATTTTGTCGCGATATTGTTGTAAACTTTTTCTACCAAGTGTTCTTTCCATTCGTGGCTTTTAAACGATTTTGAATAAGAAAAAGAGAAAGAGAGAGAAAGAGAGAGAGAGAGAGAGAGAGAGAGAGAGAGAAAGAGAGAGAACAGAAAAAATCATATATATCGAAAGATTTTAGAAAGCACTATAAAAGATTGAAAGAGTGAAAGAAAATGACGTCCTATTTTTCGACAAAATTGTAATTACGTAAAGATCGTCTGAAAGAGAGAAGTTGCACGCACGCGATAATACAAAAAATAATCGAGAGAGAAAAAGAGAGAGAGAGAGAGAGAGAGAGAGAGAGAGAGAGAGAGAGAGAGAGAGAGAGAGAGAGAGAGAAGGTTAGTTTAACAGAATAGAATAAAGAGAAAAAATGAGAGTGAAAGAAATCAAGAAAGAAAGTGAAAAGAAAAAAAAATATTTGATTAGCCGTAAAGAATGTATAGTTAATTGAAACTAAGCCGATAATAATATTTCATAGTTAAATTACGAAGTATGCATTCGTGAAAAAGACGTTCATATTATCATCAGCTTTGTACTTTGAAATGATAAACGTGCGTATGAATGTTTGTTATAAGATATATAGACTTTTACTTAATTGGCAATATGCCAAGAAACGGAGAAGAACAGCACGAGAAAGAGATCAAAAAGGGTATCCGAATCGATTTAACTTTTTTTTTTTTTTTTTTTTTTTTTTTTAATTTTCTTCTAAATTCATCAAAATCGATACCTATTTTCTTTCATCCTTTTCATCTTTTGTTAGTCTTCTCTTTCTCTTCTTCTTCATCTTCTTCTTTTTTTACTTATTTACTCTTTAACTCTGTTCCAAAAAGAAATCCGTGCTCCGAAACTAAGAAAACGAGGGGTAAAGAGAAAGTATGTTTCACTATTGTGCGCGACTTGGAAGCACCAGACAAATTATTGTTTTCACTTATTTCTAAGTATGTCTCTTATAGTAGTTTTTAAAGTAAATAACAAAAAAAAAAATAATAAAAAGGATGGAAAGAAACGATACGATCGATAAGCACGATTGTGCTCTGGATACGACAAAGAATCGTAGGAAGAAAAGCTCCAAGAAGGATCAATCACATAAGATTGCTAGAGAAAAATGCAAAGAAATAAGAGGGAAGAGAAAAAGGATATCAAGCAAGAGTTGCGAGTAACACAGTAATAATAATACTTCGCAAATCGGATTGGCTCTTTTGTCTTTCCGTTTATTTTAACCCTTATATCAAATTTTATCCTTGCAATAATTTTTTTTATTTTATCTTTTTCTTAAAAGATGCAATAGTAAGATGCAATAGAAGAAATGAAAAAATTCTCGTGATCCTTCGAATCACGCAAATGTATCCTCGTCCTTCTTTTTTCATTGATATAAATAATCCATTTCTTTTTACGTTATTAAATAATGTTAGAAACGTTAACAGAATATAATAATGTTATCAGTTCAGCAGAATTTCTAAATATGTAACTATAATCTTTCTTATTTTTATTTTGTGATTTTTCAAAAAGAAAATGGTAATCGTGAAAATGATCAAATCTTGTGTGATTGATTCTACGATGAGCAATGAAAAAAGAGTAAGATATAAATTTCCTGAGCGTAGATAGACAAAAATGAATATATAATTAGGATATCAATGACGATCTTGTCGACGTTATAATTTTTAGAAGTGGATAGAACCAAGAGAGGAACGGGGATGATCGAGTTGCGTTCGACGTAGCTCTATTTTCGATTTTCACCCTTATACCGTAAGTGTACCTATAAATAAATATAAATACACATATTATAAAAAATTTATGCATTACATGCAATTGAGAATAAAATGCAATGAGAATAAAAATCTTCTGAAATCGATGAGAAATACTACTGATAATGAATAATCTTTGATGATGGTAGGTAGATGTCTCTTATTCGTTTCAGTTTGTCTTCGTAGAATCCTGGATCGAAAGGATTACGCGGTTTTTTTTTTATGAATTACATAAATGAATAGAGATCATTATTAATTATGTATTTTAATAGATCGTGACACGTAGTAATAAAAGAATAAACCCGTAAGCCATCTCTCCAGAATCTACGATCATACACACATCGTCCGACGAACGTTTTATTTTGTAACGTTTTTAATACCTATATAATTGTACTCACTATTTTTTGTAGTAATAAATATTCAGTTTATCGATCGCACACGTGTCATCATGAAGTCGAGTTATCGCGACCATTATTGTCTCCATTGTAAATCTCTTTCTCTTCGATACTGAGTCACGTAACGAAACTCGTGTACGTCTGACGTGATCTTTACCCACTTTACGATATTTAGAGTCATAAAACACAACCGAGAAACAACACACAACATAGATCGCGTGGCAGAATCGTTGACACGCTCGTCTTGCTTTTACCTTCCTTCATCACTTTAAGAAGCAGCAGGTAAGAACATCAAAAGCGTGCACGCGCGAGCATATTCGTTCATGGAAACAAGATCGTGTCGCTTATTCAGACGATCATCTCTCGTGGAAGAAGACACGGACTTATTATCTTTTTCATGAAATATGAAAACCGTTATGGCTTTTTTACGGTTCTTTCTACTCTGATCTCTTTCTTTAAGAAGATTTGTGAACACATTTTAACATTATTTACTGAATAATTTTTTATTCTTTAAACGATATCATAGGACGTGTATTTAATTTGTGGTCACTTATTGTTTATATTAAAATATTTTTTCTATAGTAATTTGTCAAAATAAAAGCCTGTCAAATATTTTCTTCAAGATCTATCGATACCAATCAAAATTCATTGGGAATCGATTTATCGATCGATTGCCCATCGTGAATCAACCGATTGGCTGATAGATTTATACATTTCAGTACATTTCCGGACGAGTTCTAGCGATAATAGAAGCAGTAAGAGACCACAGTAACTCTCTTCTACCATCTTTGCCTTTGCCCCCTCCTTCCCTTTTATCTCCCAGCTTTCTCTTGACATCGCCAAGCTTGGCTATTTTTAACGAGACAACCTTGAACTTGCTGCTGGTGCTGCCGCTCTCGCAGTGATCCGATCACCAATAAAGGGACTTATCTAATTCTGAGAAAGACGATCGGCTCTCGCGGCTAGAGGTAAGTATTCGAGGCCGTACTTCGAATCGTACATTTCGACCTACCAACATCGATACCTTGCATCGTCGTTGTACTCGTCGTTGTCCTCGAGACACGAGATAGTAAACGGTTAAAAAGAACCTCTTAACTATCCCTACCTCTATCTATGCTAGTCGTCAGCACGAATTAACTCGATTTCGATGAAAGATACAATAACCTTGAACCGAGATAAAAAATATTTTACCGTCGATAAAACGAAGACAGTCACTGAAGTAAAGGGGTCTGCTATAGTTTTTAATTTAACGACTAACGAGAGAAACGGTCCCTAAACCATAGTACCGTAAGTAATTAGTGATACTAAAAGCTTATAAAGGCTTAACGAGTGATCTTGAGGAGAGCATCATAGCGATTAGGATAATTTCTAAAAGAAGATGGTCTAAGCTATGAGATATTCAAATTTCACCCTTTGAAATAGTTCGTAGGAAGTTTGGAGTGTACGTGCAAAGGATAGATTGCAAGTTTCTCTTTCTCTCTCTCTCTCTATATATATATATATTTATATATATATATATATATATATATATATATATATATATATATATATATATATGCAAGCAAAGGAAAAAAGATTTCCATTCACACAATATGCGTCCTGTCAGGAAGGAACGGATATATCGGAGCAAGAAGGTCTATTCTCCGACACAATGCAATCACAATGCATTCAAACTCGAGAAGCGCTCGTCAACGATGCGATACAGAACGCATCGAGTCGCGTCGCGTTCGAGACTGTAAATGAGGTCTGTGCCATGAGCACCGTAACCACTGATTGTGTATGCACGTTTGTGTATATGTGTGTGTAGAGAGAGAGAAAGAGAGAGAGGTGACCCGAGGGAAACAGAGAAAAGAACTTTCGCATGCTGCTCGTACGCAAGCCCGCTGCTTTTCGCGAGCAAGTGCCAGAGACGTACATAGATATATATGCAAATACGCGAGAAAAAAAGAAGTAGGAGAACGACAACAGCGGTATGGCTCTATCGGTCTCTTTCTCCTTCTTCTGTTTCTTCTTCTTCTTCTTCTCCTCTCTTCGGATTCTCGTGATAATTCTAGCGAGAAAGCTATATACGGTAGCCGATAGGAGATAACGCAAATTCGCGCATTGTCTGTTTTCATATTGTTCAGGATGTCTCAAAATTTGTGAACTTGCGAACAGAGAGACCGGCATCTTAAAATTCGGGTACGAGAATTGCTTTCTTATAAAATCGCCTATTCTTTTGAGATTTCTATTAAGTGCATTGAAAAAAGGAACATCAGTCGTTCGCATCTGATCGATAAAAGAAAGTCTTATCTTGACAATAATCTAATTATCGAGTCCGTCTTGAATAATAAATATTAAAATGTATGATTTCTGAGAAAACGATTCTTACAGAATGCGCAGAATAAAATAATTTCTTGAAAAAAAGAAAATTATATATAAAACTGTATAAATTTCATAAAAATTCATCAGACATCTCTATTGAAGGTTGTTATTGAAGAGATTAGAAAAAAATTGGAGAAAGGCGTATGGAACAACTTGTTCCGGCGCGGCATTACGTTTCTGGAAGAGACATCGTAAGAGGCACGTAATCGCATTCGCGAGAAGTTGTACTCGTCGGACAGGAGCATAAAGACAACGTTTGGAGACGAGGGAAGAAAGAAAATGGTCGGCGTATATGGCAGACATGAAGGATCGTGTCGCTCGATAAATCTAAAATCTAACTTGCGCAGTTAGTTTTAAAATTGGAAAATCGTTCTCATCTCGTCCTCATCTTCGTCAAGCTCGCTTACGAGTCCGTTGCTGGAACTACATAAATAGGTACCATTCGAGTTAATCTCCCTCCGTAGGCAATTCTTGACGTGCATGAATATATGACTTCAGTATTGCGCTGAGCACGTACTATTTCCTAGTAGTGATAAAAATTAAAGCGTATTTCTGTTTGTCTTCCACACCCTTCCTAGTATTGGTCTTTTACTTCTTTTCATCCGTCCTTCCTTCCTTTTTCTGTCTTTCTTACTCGCTAGTTCCCCTCAGCAGCCCACCAATAATGCAGAATCCTTTTCTCTTTCCTCCTCGTGCTGTTTAACATTTCGACGAATAAGTACGACGACTGCGACGACGTCCGCTGCGGCTATGTCGAAATACCGACAAGTTCAAGATCACGAGGTCGTTGCACGTTGTTCGTGCGGCATCGTAGACTCGCACAGAAGACGTAGTCCAACCGACAAGTCAAGTAAGCATTTCGGCTTGGCCAAGAGCCAGATAGCTCGTCGGAAGAAGGATGAAGTAGTCTCACTGCTTCCGCTGAGACTTCGAAATTTTCGAACGTTTCGTTCCCCTTTGATCGTTTCTCTTTTTTTATCGTCATCCTCAAACTACGAACCTTACATCCCCTTCACGATATTTTCTTTTCTTTTGTCTTTCCTTCAAGATCAAGCATTTTATAACTCGATTATAGGAAGTCTTGAATTTTCTTTTGAAAAAACTTTAATAATAATGTAACGCTTTGTCTGAAATACATTGTTTAATATACAATAAATTGATAAGTCATACAAGATATACTAATACAAGATATAGTAATGTTACTCACTCCCTCTACGAATCATTTTACAATAAAATCACATAAGATAACGTATATATAAAAGTACAAAAACTATATCTGCAATTCACAAATATTTTCAACCTTATTCCTATTCTTGCTGCATTTATGGGAGATTGACGTATTCACAAAAAGAACGAATACACCGATTCACGTAAAATTTATTGGATGAGCGAGCACTTATATCAAATTCGTCGAAAGCACGAAGATATTTTTGGAGGCGATTCCTTTGAATGGATTCTATGGCTATCGATCGGGCAGGTTAGTAACCCGAAGGCAGGTATATCTCGAACGAAGAGAACAGCGGTCACTCAGACGGTCTTTTCGTATTCTTAGGAGCCTTCTCGTCTCGTCACGGGGTTACGAAATGCAAGAGACGTGCAACGCGAATGCGGTAATCGCGTTCTCCCTTCATCGACTTACACACCGACTTGCGAGCTCCGTTCCTCTTCGGAGAACGAATTCGAACGGTACGTCCGGACCATCAAATAAATCAAGGAACACGAGGCAAAAGTGATAAATCACTAAAGCGTACCTCTTACTTTTCCTATGTTCACATCGAACTACGCTAATTGTCTTATTTTTTTTATTTCCTATCGATATACGGATTAAACAAAAGGTCGAATATAAGGCAATTGATTATTTGAGAAATTAAAAAATTTAATCCGATCAAATGTAAAAATGTTTAATTATTATATCAAGGGGATCGATCAGAAAGTAACATCGACGGCAATTAGTCTCATATTAATTGTTATTGTTTCTCTAAACCTATTTATATAAAATCTTTTGCCTCCTCTAATTAGTTCAGATAATCGATTTCCCATTGTAGAATGTTCCTTTAATTTCACTCAAAAGTTAAGACGAAAGAGATAATTGAAGACAGTATTATTTGTCCATAAAATAATTCTAACGGTATCTCGTACAACTAAGAAACAAAATTAAGAGCAATTGCGAGTTAATGTATATATACGCGAATTGTTTTCGGAAAAGCTCCCGTAGAATTCGCACAATAAATTTAAAAACCGTGTGACTCTGGCAAAGGGTCACAAAGGTCAATGGAGGTTTTAGCGGAGTTTTACTCGATCGGTAAAGAGAAGGTATTCGCATTTAAAACGACTCAAGTACTCGATTG